TTTTTCATTTTAGCGCATTTTGTGACAGCCCTATTTAATCATCTCATATCCAGAATTCTCTGGCAAAAACAATTAACATATTGCATTTTCTTTTTTTTGTTTCAAAAAACATTTCAATGCTCATGTCAGATTTTGTATTTAATATTTTTTTGCGACAAAGCACCGAGTGTATGTAGCCATTTGACTCAACTTGAGCCAGAAAATGAATACTTGCAAAGCTTCTAAGAAAATAGATTTTATTGATACTAAAAACTATAATTCAGCCGGGTAGCCACTAGTGATTTAGGCAAGAATTGTCTCAATGTATTGGCATCACTGCATTTTCTGTCTGGTATGTGCTTAATTGTAAAAAGTACTTTTTTGTAATTTGCTATGTTAATTTCATTCCTATCTCGGCATAGTTCGTTGTGCTGTCTCACCTTGTGTTCTTATCATTATTGCACAAATAATGGAATAATAAATAAGTAAGTGCCTATAAACAGGTTCATGCTTAGTTTATTGATGTAAGCTTAGAGCAAAAGAAGATGCGCTATAAACTGACCTTTCTTTGCGAATAGACGACAAGATTCAGAGCAATTTTCACCAAATACACTTATGTTTTACTCCCATTTGGTGTCACGAGCGGGCATCACTTGTAGCCAGGTACATTTTGTTTGGTTTTTTTTCATTTGCGCACCTAGAGGCATGTGCAAGGTTGTGTTCAATGAGAATTTAGATGCAGTACAAAAAAAACAAAAAAAACTTTCGTGATGTTTTCAGATGACCAATCACATTCACGCAAAAATATGGTGGGTCATTGGTAGCGACAACGTTACTAGGGGCATGCGAATATTTGAATAACGAAGCAAATAGCATTCGCTAGTCAAATTGAATGGTGCATATACAAAACACCAAATATTTTAAAAATAATTGGCTCCTATGAGAAAACCATGAAGCAGAAAAACATGGGATCAGCTGAATGTTTATTTTGTTCTTGTAATCTCTGAATTACAACAATAATGCAGCCCAAGTATTGGCAACAATATTGATGCTACAACCACTACCAGACAAAGCATTTTTGCTGCATGCAGCACTTTTACTCTGTTTGTACTATGGTGGAACTGCATCGCATTAATCATTTCCTGTCTTCATTATTGAAGTTAGGGACTATGGCTGCATTCAGCTTCTCGAATAAAAACACATGCAAGCCTTTTGTTCACGTAAATTGTTTTTACAGATACAGATTTCAACACTTGATTTTTTTCATGCACTCTGTGCCGGGGTATATGTTGTGATAATTTTGCCTGTTGCAATGAATCTTTAGCTGAATGCATGGTGTCCGGTTCAAAATTGTTTAGATTTTATGTCGCAGTTTTACTTAAACGCTGGCAACAGAGTTTCAACTTGAATAATGTAGTTTCTGTGGTATTTCGACATACAGTTAAAAAGTATTTCGAAGGCTCTGATCGCTGCTGTATACAAGCTTATCACAGTTTTCATAATTGTAGTATTATTTGGTGACACTTCGTGAATACTTATTTCAAATAAACTATTGTGGAGTTCTAGGATTACCTTTAAAAAGGTTTCCTTACTATTTGAAAACTATCAGAAGACAACTAGGTTCATTTAGGCGTTCGATTTGGTTATAACACTATAGCATTAAAATTAATTCACTTCTGAAATTGACTACTAGCAAACCCCTTGCTTGCGCACGTTTCGAAATATGACAGAGCACGTGCTGTCAACACTTCACCGTTCTACAGGCACGCATTGCAGTGAAGTGAGCAAACACACGCAAACACACACCAGCTGGTGGCGGGCTCTTTATATGCACAACATACAGCAGATTTCGAAGTGTATTTTGCCTAGAGGGAATACGCTGCCACCCGCGTCCTTCTCTTCTAGTATTAGCACGGCCCCTCGCTCCTTATGGGAACGGAACTGCATCGCGTGTTCATAGCGTGACACTACGAAGATATTCATTGGCAAGTCTGTGGAGGCGCTGCTACAGATATTTGTGCTTCTCATTTCGTATCGCTATCATAATCAGTAGCGGTTGCATTCACTACGAGTAGCCTAAGATATGCCAGAGTGAGCGCAAGCTGAGCCGATCGAGTGACGTGCGCGACGTATGCACTCAAGTGCTCCGACAACGGCTCTTTGATCTGCAACAAAGGCTTACCGAGTTACGATTGTTGTTATATAGTCCGCACATGAACTCTTTACACCACCATCTTCCCTTTTTCACTGCATATCTGCGCCGACTTCGATGCTTTCGGCGATCGTTGCAAAGGGAGCGACAGGACTTACGGCAGCGTCGACACAGGCGTGCACACAACGTTTCTGTGGCATCTTGGTGGCACCAACTACTTGATAGCGCCGTTTTCCCGTTCATCGTAGGCGGTTTGTCAGTACGCGTGCGAGAGTCAACTTTGTTCTCGCCCTCGGCTAGTGTCTGCATCGGCTGTGCCCGGTCCCGACGCTTGAAGTCATGAGCCCTGCAGCATCGTCATGGGCACAGCCATGTTTGATGACGAAATCACGCACGAACCAATGAGCGCGCAGCTTCCGAGAGCCTCGTGAGACCGCCTGGCGCAGTGCATTATGGGGGGGGGGGGGGGGTCTATCCGCTCGCTTTTGTAAACTCGCGCCGAGGTACGCCCGCTTTGTGTGTTGTGACCGAAGTTACAGGGCAAAAGGTTAGTCCCTTTGTTGGGTCTACCTGGCTTGTACGCCGGGAGCACGGTGTAAGAGTGGCCGGGAGGCAGGCTGCGTCTATTTGGCGCCGAGCGGTGGCCCCCTTGCCAGGGTATGGCCGTCTGCCCAAAACAACTGTTCTCTCTCACACGATCCTCGGGAGGAGGAAGTGCCGGGACAGACGTACGGATGATGATGTGTTGATGAGTTACGCGAGAATCTGAAGCAAAGCGCCTCAGCGCTGCGTCTCCTTCTTACCTGACAACGGCACCGCTTCTCCCGGTGGTCTCAGGCTCTACAAAACAGAGCAGAGGCCAGTACAAGAAAATGACTGTACGGATTGCGCGGCCGAAACTGCATCATTGCAGTGCCAAGACATCGTTTCATACAGGGCAAAGGACCACTCGACGAGCTCAGTGGTTCGTCACGTTGTCCATGGCCATGCTTGCACCACTGCGAGTTCGAGGGGATCGGTCATGCGCAGGAATCGTTTTTTCGAAATGGAGGAATGCGTGGCGTGCAGCACAGATGCTCCTGTAATATGCAGAAAATGTGATCACCGCGGTCTATTGTACGAATTGGCGAGCTAGTTTGAGAGTGTTAAAAAAAAGTCAGAGACGGTTTATTGACCTTTGACTTTTGCAAAATCGAACACTCTGTCTTGCACAACATGCCAGCTTGGTTCAAGCCGCAGTTTCATTTTAACTGCTTCATGAAAACTCTGGGGGCATAGAGCAAAACTGCGTGGCCGGTACTGCCAACTGCTGGGTACGATTCGCTTTCATTATATCTTCTGTTTCTATATAAGAGTGTTGTAAGACAACTCACCAATGTAAGATTCATTGAAGAACTTCTGATGATCCTCGTGGTTTCATATCACTGTCGATGCGCAGGTTCTGTTTTTCACTGCCAGAATGATTCTTGTACTCGTTAATAATATCGGCATGAATGCACTCCGGCAGCAATTCACTTTTTGCTGACTATAAGCCCAATAAAATGAACACTCAAAGCTCGTCATGAAAAGGGCGGCTATGTGCGACGTGCGAGAAAACCTTTAATAGACACATCACACAGCTTCACTAATCGACCAGCTTCATGGAGCGAAAGATAGGAGAGTCCATTGTATCCTTGTTTCCTCTGTCGAATTAATAATATTTTATCCTTGACAGTTACCATGCATTGCCTTCTAGTCTGCGTGACAGAATGTGCCACAGTAAACAATGATGATTAGGCCTTTAGCACTACTACTTAGTTTGCAATCGTGCTGCTTGTGCGCTGCTCCAGTTAAAGCCACGGGACGAACTCACCGTCTGTGATGGTAAGCGCTGAACCACCATCACGTCGATGACAGCCGTGACTTTTCTCTCCTTCTCTCTGTAACTTTTATTCCCCTTAACTCCTTCGCCATTGCAGGGTAACCTACTGGGCTCGGTCATATGAGTAACCTTCCTGTCTTCCTTTCATCCTTATCATCTATCTTTTTATTCAATCATGCGATGATTCGCTCAGAGCGTTCTTGCCAATCTATCCTACAAAGTAGATTTTTTTTTCACAACCGGATATTGATCCACTTTGCCCAGATTGTGGTGAATTTTGCTCTTTGAGTCACATGCTCTGGCAGTGCCCTGCGTTACAGGATTTTAAAACAGAAGAAGACTGGACGACGGCAATCACAGACCCCAGACAAGACGTCCAGCTTCAGGCTGTCCAGAGGGCCCGTGAACGAGCGGAGAGGCATGGCCTCTCTGTTCCGACATGGGACTAGCCAACGGCTGGGTGGGGACCTACATAGTTGGCCCGCTGCCTTGCCTCTCAGGACCAAATAAAGTTGTTTGTCCTGTCCTGTCACAACCATCTCGCCGTCTAGAAGTCTATTACCACCCGAAGAATAGACAAACTCTTAAGCTCAAGATGGTAAGTTAACGTACCGGCCGACGCCCTTGGTAATCGCCGAAGCACGAATACACACTCTGACCTTGTTGCATCTTCGATGCTGCGCACGCTCGCCGATTCGTTGCACAAATGGAGTCCAGTGACAACAATGCATTGACTGAAGTGTGGGCCTTTTGGCTACTTCTTTGTTTAGTGGGATGAAGAACTGATAGTCAGACTCACAAGACGTAAACAATTACGCAAGGGGACGCTTATTTCTGTGTGCCCCCTCTCGCTCTGCCTACCATTTCCTTTGTTATTTTTAGTAACCATGAAACAGCAGACCGTGGGGTTTGCGTCTGTTTCCTACAGGCCTATGCGTCGCTATAGACACTAGCTCCAGTCAAGCGGGGGTCGAAGAGCATTAAGCGTCTTCGGGTCTTAGACAAGCGTTTTTCAAAACAACGTGAACTTTATTCGTTATTCGCACTTATTGTATGTACAACAGTTGAATACTATCGCATCCTGATGCACTATCATACACTCGATACCAATAAAATAAAAAAAAACTTATACAGCACCATAAAAACAAGACAAAGAAACAGCACGTGCTAGGCCAACCAGGAATGCCTGGTCACTGCGCCGCCTGTGGTAATGCCGGAACGGCTGAAAACATTGTTTCTGTTTTATGACCGAATAATCTATTGCAAATGTAGGGACAACCGCAGTGTTTGTGTTCTTCTTTTCTTTTTATGCATCCCTACGGCTGTGTAATACTTGTGCTGCACCTGCATTTTTTTTTTCATCACACAAGTGCTTCTTCAATAGCGCAACAAGCCTGAACTCAAAGTGTTAATCGTGTTGTTGTTGTGGTCTGGCAGTCTAAAATGTGTGTGAAGGTTTACGTGAGTTTTTTTCTTTAGGAATATGCTTTCGGCCTATCCTTCAAGCAAATCGGCAATGATTCTGCAAAGGCATGTGTTCAAAATATACGGGTTCAAGAGATTCCTGATAGAGAGTTTCAGGTCACGGTACCCGAATGTTGCCCGGCCGTGGTGGTCTAGTGGCTAAGGTACTCGGCTGCTGACCCGCAGGTTGCGGGATTGAATCCTAGTGGCGGTGGCTGCAGTTTCCTATGGAAGCTAAAATGCTGTAGGCCCATGGGCTCAGATTTGGGTGCAAGTTAAACAATCCCAGGTAGTCAAAATTTCTGGAGCCCTCTACTGAGGCATCTTTCATAATCATATGGTGTCTTTGGGACGTTAAACCCCACATATCAATCAATCAATTACCCAAACGTTAGGGACGCAAGCTCCACTGCAGGCCAGGCGCATTTATTTTGTTTACTCTTTTCCTTTGTTCACACGACCAGCAGTTTTCAGCCCCATACTATTCGGTTTAGAATAGTTCAAAAGCTTTCTCATCAGTATTTGCACTGTACAACAATCAGCTATGCGTGGAAATGCACTGTTCAAAGCACGAATACTTGCTTGAGATGTTTGTGGCTTTCAAAAACAGTTCCCCAAACACGTACGCCATCATACTTTTGTCAAGAAAGATGCAGCACGTCTGGGGTAGACTAATCAACAGGAGCATTAAAACACAGTTCACATGTCTGCAAGCCACGACTCTCGGAATGGTGGCTGTCTTGTAAGTTCCCCAATGCTCTATAAAAAAGTCCTAAATTGTCGGCTGTTGACCGAAAGGCCGACGCGTATGAGTACATCTAAGACATTGGAGTTGAGAAGACGACACTGATTTTGCATTGCCCCTTTTTGGGGGCTTTCCACACACGTTCGTCGAGAGGCAAAAGGCAAGGTTTCGCTGTTTAATTCCAAAGACGCCTAGTTCTTCAAGTTCAGATTCATAAATGGGCAGCCAAAAGCAGTGTGTATAACCAAGTAACCAAGTTTTCTGCACCAATAAAAAAAATAAAAAAAACTACAGGTAGGTACCTTACACCTTGCCTCAATTTCATGATGCACTGGGGCATTTCAACAAGACAAATAATGTTGCGAATATACAAGCTGTGTGACACGGTGTTTTCTTCTTCTGTGTTTTGTTAAGTTATTGAAGTATTTTGCCGCAACTGTTAAACAGTTGGCAAGACCTGTTGTGTCAGCCTGTGCGCAGAACAAGCGTGGACGCAACCAATAGGCTTCATCAGTCATGAAATTGCAAGCTTCTCACAATATGTGAACATTGCGAAAAAAAAGAACTTGTTGACACAATACGCAATATTAACTTCACGGTACCTTATATGTTAACAATTAAATTCACACTGCTCTCACAAACACACGGTAGCATAAAAAAACGTAACATACATTCGCTAAACGCACAGGTTGCGAAAGGATCGTCTCAATACAAAGAACTTAAAATACGTGGGGCACTTATTGCGGAGTGGTTTTTACAGTCACCAGCGAAACACAAATTTGAAGCAAACATTTTCCATTCATCATCGTGCTCAAAGGACCGGGCACTCGGAATACCTCATCGAAGCAGGCATAAAATGGGTGTTGCAGGTATAACAACACAGCATCTGTACAATTCTTGAGCGTGTCTCACGAGAACTTCTTTTTATCTGGGGGTGTGTTCAAAGTCCAATGTAATATTCGATATACACCTGCGAAGCTCACTTTTGCTTCTGAAGAACGTGCAAAGATGATTTGTCAAAGCGGTTCCATCTGTACCATACAAGCCGTCGTCATCGTCACCGTACACACGCCCTGTTCGTCCGAGGGCGAAAATGACGAGTAAAAAAAACAACAAAATGCACTTTGGTTTATGTACAACACAAGCAGCCCGTATCGCACAGTGCACAGGACTAGACTTCCCATCTTTCGTCGCCGTTCGTCGGCCCAGTGCTGGGGCGGGTGAGGCGCTGGAGGCTGGGTAGGAGGCTTGGGAGACGAGTTAACAGCAGTCGGTCGATCAGGACGGTACGCTGTACTGTTTAGAAAGCCGCGGTGCAGACTTCATATCGTTCGAGCTGTGTCTCCTGTGCAGGCACCGATCGGCCGGCGGCACCTTCACTGGCCAGTTGTAGGGCGGCGCTATCCTGCCGGGCACAGTGTCGTGCTCTTCGTCTTCATCCGGCTGGAAACCCGGGTTCACCTGGTCACCGCCGCTTCTGCTATCCTGGAAGGTCGAATAGTTGACGATGTTGGTGAGCAGGTTCTTGCTGCTTTCGCTGCTGGGCATCTCCTTCTCTTGGTTTAGCTCGCCGCTCAGCTTGCGCTTGATGTCCTTGCTGTTGGAAGACGGCATGCTCAGAGACCCGTACGAGTCACCCGAAGTGACGATCACCGGCGGCGTCTTGCAGCCGTTCGATGACGGGTACGGCGGTACAAAGAACGGGTGCGTCACGATGGCCTTCTTTTGCTTCTTACAGAGTGAATGCGACATGGACAGCAGTACCGGCAGGAGAAGGATTCCATGCAGCGCACCAAAGAGGATGACGAGGAACACAGTCTTGAAGAAGGTCAGGAAGATGTAGGATGGCGCGAACGCCAAGATGATGATGCCGAGAATGGTGGACACGCTACCCTGGAATATGGGCATTCCCAGGGAGTGGAGGGCACACTTCATTTTCTCGTTGGGCGTCGGACCGTCCGACGATAGGTACGCGTATGATATGTGAGCCGAGTAGTCCACAGAGAACCCGATGCACATTATGAGATTGATCATGGAGATGGAGTCGAGGTTCACGTTCCACAAGGTCATGTAGCCGATGACGCCGATCTCGATGGAGCAGATGGAGAAGGCCACCCACAGAGCGCACGAAACGCTCGGGATAAAGATCAGGGCGATGATCATCATGACGGCGGCAGCAACGCCAATGGACTGAATGGATGTCTCGCGCACCAGGATGAACTGGTCGAAGAAGACAAACAGCGTGTGGAACACGGTTATGTGGTGATCCGGGTAGCTGTCGGCGATGCGCCTCAGGTCGAGCACCATGTCTTTCTCCATGTTGGCGTCTGAAATGTTGGTGGTCTGGATAATGCAGCGGGAGGCTACGATGGATGTGTAGTTCTCGTTGAACTTGATGTCCTTCTTGAATGTCGAAAACGGCTCGAATCTGCGCAACACATAAAAACAGAAAAGTTGAAATGATAAAATTGGCTTTCTGTCAGAGGTTCATTGTATTAAGCAATACAAATATGAGGCTAACGATTGGTCAAGCATGCTTAGTTTAATAGTGCATTTTTTTTTTCAATGGACAATTTACATAAACATTAGAGTTTAATATTAAAGTCGAGCACGTCGTCCATACCAAGATCGCTCTACACTCTACGTAATATTGTAAGAGAATCGCTCGGCAGTTGGTTCAGATTGATCCCTATAGTATCATCTGGCTAAAATTTTAAATTTTCCAACTGAACTATCTAGGCATTTTATAAGGCTCGCCGCAAGGCTTTTGTAGGTATACATTGGTAAGGTAAAATTTTACGAATGTTCTTAATTTTCTTAAAGCACATTAGCAACTGCACAATTGTTTATCAGCATACTTTATATGTGCGAGAAAAAATATTATTGCGAGAGCAACTATATATACAATCTCGGCTGGCTTTTGCCGCCGCTGCCGCCGTCATTCGCGTATATGTATATGTATGTATATATATACGGGGAAGGATGGGCTAGCCTCCTCTTTCTGTAAACCGAGCATCAGCTTTCTGGCCGTGGTCATCTGCTCGTGCGCTTATCTAGTGAGCGAACAAGGGGGAGTTTCTACGGGCTGCGGTCTGTACACGAAAAAGCGGTGCCAGAAGTGTACCTGGAGCGGCCGTGTTCTCTTACACCAGCGTTTTGTAGAGTTACGTGTCATCAGATCTGAATGAGTTGACTGCCAACCTCACTTCGTATACCATTGTAATTTGTCGCTATGGCCGCGCCGCAGGAAACTTGGTTACTTATAGCAGCGCATGTTTACTATGATTATTATTGCTCCTAAAATTCTAGTTTTGCTTCATAAAACATTCGAATATGTTGCTATCGCATACATTGCTTCGCCCTTTTGGCGAAAGTGTGACTTTCCTAACTGTCTCAACATTCCAATTTTCCTGTGCTGACATCCGATTGCAAAAGTAAGAAACTAACAAATTTATGCGTAATTTGCATATAAGAAGAGGTTAGTGTACTGAAGACGTATCTTTCACGTTTGCGGTACTTGCTTCTATACTACAATTTCGATTCATTGCAAAGTGCACTATTGCAGCTAACGTAGATTCACACACCCCTTCAGAAATAACGGGCACTTTGACAAATTTCGCAACCCAATTTGATTTAGTTTTTATCAGGTCATGAGTGACCACAAGATAACATGTAGCTTCGCACTAAATTTCTTTCTTCACTTCTACCACTGCCACATTTTACCAGCAACATGACAAAAGCATGCTTGCAACTATCGCAAAATCGCAAGCACAAAGAATACTGTTCTTTTACTGTTAAACATCTTCCTAGCTCTTTTTTTTTAATTTTACTCAGTAAGAGCAATTGTTCAAAAGGATTATTCATTTATTAGACACGAATTATTGAATCTACTGAAAAATTAAGCCGAGAAGAGCGTATAACATCATTATTTGCTATTTTTAACTGTAGTGAAGTAATTACGACAAAATTGAAATGAAGTAATATGTGCCTTCCTCTTATGCTACGTTTATGTGCCCAATCGCGTAACCCTCTGCAAAGAAGCATGTAGGCGCCTTTATATATGTCGACTGAATTTTCTGTACTTCATTGAACAGCTTTCTCTCTCTTCCTCTCCCTCAAATAAGTGTACAATGCTCTACGAATTGAGCTGCGACTGCAGGCATTCTTCAGTACGTTTTGTTAATAATGACAAGTTCTGGTGTTTCCCGTCCCAAAACCACACTATGACTACGGCACACTCCATCTGAAATAACCCCTGCAATTTTGATCATCTCATGTTGTTCACTTATCTCATGTTTTGATCATCTCATGTCTGTTCACTCATCTCATGATCACTTGGCAGTGACAACGGAACTGTGAACGTCGTAATAAGCAATCTGCTTTCTGTACAGGCTGACGCACGTTTTTCACCGGTGATACCCAACCCTGGAAGGAAAAGTACCGTGGTCCCTGGCTGCATAGTTACGCTGCTGCGTGCTTCATTTGTGCGCCTGCGTGCTGCCGTGTCCTGCGCGGTGCAGCTTCGTCCACGTCATCAAATTCACCCTACAAGAAGAGCGCTCAGGTCGCCGGCTGCATCACTTGGCAGTGACAACGGAACTGTGAACGTCGTAATAAGCAATCTGCTTTCTGTACAGGCTGACGCACGTTTTTCACCGGTGATACCCAACCCTGGAAGGAAAAGTACCGTGGTCCCTGGCTGCATAGTTACGCTGCTGCGTGCTTCATTTGTGCGCCTGCGTGCTGCCGTGTCCTGCGCGGTGCAGCTTCGTCCACGTCATCAAATTCACCCTACAAGAAGAGCGCTCAGGTCGCCGGCTGCATCACTTGGCAGTGACAACGGAACTGTGAACGTCGTAATAAGCAATCTGCTTTCTGTACAGGTCAGTGACCAAGTATACTGAGCTGCTTATAGCTTTTTTGTGTGTTCCGTCGTCACTGCCAAATTGTTTTGAATTATCTGTGGTGCTTTCTTGCTTCTTTCGTAAATCATTAAGATTTGTTATGGCTAAATTGAAGGAGGAAATGAAGACTGAATGTTTGAAGTTAAAGGAGGAGGTGCAGCAGGAACTTAAGATGTTCCGTGACTCTGTGGTAAGGGATTTCAGGAATGAAATTCGAGACATGAAAACAGAACAAAGGAACATGACTAAAAGCATTGACTACGCTCACGACAGTATTGAGGAGTTGAAGAAAAAATTAGAAGAAGCTGTCGCTGAAAGTGCTCGCCTTAAAAGTGATAATGCTTCTCTACGCCTAGAAAACGCGTCCTTGAAAACCTCTGTATTTGAATTGGAGCATCGATTGACCGGCTGTGAACAGTACTCTAGGAATGTCAATATAGAAATACAAGGCGTTGTGAAAAGGGAGACTGAATCGGTCAGTGACTTACTTTGTACGCTAGGCACGATTATCGGAGAGCCGCTTAGCAAGGATGACATAGAGGCGTGTCACCGTGTGCCGAGTAGAACGGAAAACAAGAGCAACATCGTTGTTCAATTTAAGTCCCGCGTCAAACGGGACAGGGTGCTAAAGAAGGCAAAAAAAGCGCGCCTTACAAATGCTGATTTGGGCATTGGCAACTCAACTTCCTTTTCACCGCCTGTGTATGTGAATGAACATCTCTGCCCGACGTTGAAAAAACTGCTCGCGACCGCTGTAAAAAAGAAGTACGAAATGAAATGGAAATCTGTATGGTCTTACAACGGGAAGATATACGCTAAACAGACTGACGAAACACCTGCTGTACACATACCCAGCGAGCGTGATATCGACAGGATTTTTGGAGGGCAAAATAGTTCTGTGTCTGCATAATGTCAGTTGATGTGCTTGCTTGAAACTTTGAAATAGCATTTATTCGCTATGGATTACCTAGAGCTTGCTTTTCCTCGCGATATCTGCTTACACAATCAAACAGGCAACTCAGTTCTGCATATTAACACGAGGTCACTTAACCATAAAAGGGACGACGTTGCACTCTTTTTAGAGCAATTCCAATTAAAATTTGACCTCATTATGATGACTGAAACTTGGGGTACAAATGATGAACCAACTTTTACTCTGGATGGCTACAATACATTCTATCTTAATCGGACGCATAAGCGAGGGGGAGGGGTTGCTTTGCTTGTTACGACAAAAAAGAGTTGCCACATCGTCCCTGAATTCAGTAAGATAACAGATGAATATGAAATACTTACAGTCCAGTTTAAAGATGAGCTTATCTCGGTAATCTACCGACCGCCAAATGGAAGCATGGCAAGTTTCATGCAATTTTACGAGAACTTCTTGGAGTATGCTTGTTGTAATAATTTCCTCCTTATTTCTGCAGGAGATTTTAATATTAACCTACTGGAGGAAAACTGTGTCACCCGCGAGCTAAATAACCTTTTGCTCTCGAGTGGTTTTAAAAATCTAATTAATACGCCAACACGAATTACATGCTCCACTTCATCAGCACTGGATCTTGTCATTACCAATATTGACACAGTAATTTATAGCGCAGGCACAATAACATCTGATATTAGTGACCACTGTCCCGTGTTTATGAGCTATTTTTGCAAACCTCTTGATAAAGGGACGCGGCGGGTGCTGCCTACCATACAGCATATCACATCTCGAAGTCTTGAAGCTTTTACGCTCGATATATCCAAACAAAACTGGTCATCTGTATTTAAGGAGAAAAATGCCGATAACGCATATGATGCATTCATCCAAACTTTTCGACGCATTTACGCAAAACATTTTCCATTCAAAACATTAAAATCTGCAAGAAAGGCTAGGAAACCCTGGGTCACTCGCGAGCATTTGAGTATGATAAAGCGTAAAAACATCTGCTATCACACTTTTCTACGTACGCGCTCTGCTGAAACTTTGAAAGAATTTAAAAAGCTTCGCAATAGATTAAACGCTGAACTTCAACGTGCCAAGAAAGCCTACTATCAGCGTATCTTTGTACATGCCAATCGGCAACGTTCAAGTGCTACGTGGAAGCTAATTAATACCATACTCGGTCGTGATAATAAAAATGCTTTGCCTGAGTCTATAACCTTCGGGGGTAAAGATTTTAGAGGTGCAGCACTCGCAGATCATTTTAATAACTACTTCATAAATGCAGTAGCGTTGTGCAATGATAACGCGGATTTTGTCGCCGGATGCAGTAACGTGAGCCAAAGTATCTTTCTTGACCCAACAAACGAAAGTGAAGTATGCGAAATCTTCAAGCATCTAAATAGTACTAAATCTCTTGATGCCGATGACCTGCAGATCACACCAATAAAACACGTTTTATATTTACTTAGTAGTGTACTAACCTATATATATAACTTAGTTCTTGAACATGGTGTTTTTCCAGAAGCCATGAAGAAAGCTCGTGTATCAGTCATTTTTAAGGGTGGTGACCGCAGCAGTGAAAGTAACTACAGGCCTATATCGGTCCTTCCTGTCTTCTCTAAATGTTTAGAAAAAATTATTCATGTCCGCATAACGAATTTTTTTAATAAACACAATGTGTTAACAGATGCGCAGTTTGGCTTTATAAGCGGCAAGTCCACTGAAACTGCATTGTTGACATTAAAGGAAGCTATACTTCATAACTTTGAACAAAATAAATTCACACTCAGCATATTTCTAGATTTCAGTAAGGCATTTGACTCGCTTCATCATAATATATTGTTAGACAAATTAGAATCAAATGGCATTCGGGGTGTTGCCAAATCTTTAATTCGATCATATCTTAGCAATAGGTGCCAAAGTGTTTACATTAATGAAAATAGCTCGTCATTCTTGCCCCTCACTCGTGGTGTGCCGCAAGGCAGTATACTTGGTCCGCTGATGTTCAATGTTTACATTAATGACATTGTTCAACTGGACACAACAGTTAAATACGTCATATATGCGGACGATTCAACAATAATCCTTGATGGCGTTAACTTAGATGACATTGTAAGCAAAGCAAATGATATACTTTCAAGAATTTCGTCATGGTCCAGAATGAACCAGCTTAAAATTAATCCAAATAAAACCAAAGCCATTGTTTTTCGTGCCAAAAATAAAGTACTCGCTACCCATCAACCTTTAGTTCTTGAATCAGTGCCGATTGATATTGTTGATAGCTACAAAATACTCGGAGTTTATTTTTCTTCCAATCTAGGCTGGGATACACATGTAAATTTTGTTTGTAAAAAGCTTTCTTCGGTAACAGGAGTGATGTCTCGTTGCCGGAACATTTTGCCGCTCAAAGTGAAACTTCAGATATATTATGCGCTATTTAATTCACATCTAATGTATTGCAGCCTTGTATGGGCCACGACAAGCAAAGCAAACATCAATAAAGTCATTACTTTGCAAAAAAAAATAGTCCGCCAGATTGGAAATATTGAACCGTTCGGAACGACGCGTGGAGCTTTCCAAGAATTTAATATAATACGAGCTGACAACCTTTACACATTTCGCTTATTGCACACACTTTATTTCTCGAATAAGGATTTCTCCAACTTCATTAGATTACTGTCATGCCTACAGCGTCGTGTCATTACGTTTCCTACAAGAAATACAGATATTTGGTTCGTACCGCGTTTCCGCACTACATATAGACACCAAGCCTTGGCCTACAACGTTCCCACAACACTTAACACGCACGAAAGTACAATCTCCTGCAACAAAAAACAACTACACTCACATTTCTGCTCTCTGGCCCCATAGGAACATTCCTAGTCCAGTCCAGTGTAAATAAATTGTGTCATGTTATATCTCGTTATCTTGCGTTGTATTAGCGATATGAATGTATGTGTTTTCACATAAATGTATATATGTTTCTTTTTAGGTTGATAAGTGTCAATGTATACGATTTGTCTGTGCATGGTGTATTTTGCTTATTGAAAACCCTTTTTTACACATTTTATAACAGGTATTGTAAAATAATCAGTTAAAAAATCATTTTTGAATTGTGTATTGTTCATATTTTTTTTTTTTTATTGTACTTGCATGTTATGTACTTGTAATCATTTCCGCACTACTGCCATGTGTATATTCAGGTCACCAGGGCCTTTGTCAAGCCGTTTCTCACGGCTTTTAGCCTTGGCGACCTTCCAGTTTGGTCTGGTAAATAAATAAAATAAAGAAAAAGAATAAAGAATTTGTTAACGCGCACTGAGATAACACAGTACAGGGGCCTCTCTTCGTCCACTTTGTTGGCTGTTAGGCACTATAGAAAGCAGTGGCAAACGTCAAGTGTCAACTCGGCGGTTCATTCGCGTGTGCATTGTAGTGGTGTCGACAAATCGCTCACCTTAGCATGAACCTAAGCCCTTGTATGTAGTCGTGGGGGTCAGTGAGGTCGAACTGGCCGAAGTAACCCTTGAAAGGACCGTCCAGCGTCTGGCGACGGTACTCGCGGAACCAGCACTCGGTCAGGTCAGAGTTCTGCACGAAGCTGCTGTTTTCGAAGTTCCCGACGATCTCCTCTAATTTGTCGTACACTTCGGGATCCCAGTAGTCAAGAGTCTTGTTCATCACCACGTGTATCCGCAGCGGGAATCGCCGGAAGTACTTGTCGTCCATGTTGAAGAAATCGCGGGCGTACGAAGTATCCATGGCCAGCTTGTAGCGCTCCAGCCCTTCTTTGACCTGCCGTTCGGGAGAAAGATAACGATGTTTAAGACGGGAGATAAGAGCATGTGCTCCACGGTCATACGGAATGAAAGTCTGTGTCGAATTCTCTCTGCCTTATTAATACATTTCAATCAAAACGTAACTTGTTCTCTCTATGGTTTTTGTTCTTTTTAGTCAAGTGGTTGCAAGTGACGCCAAACAAGATCTAGCTGCTTGAATTGCATTATTCTCACCTTTCACTGACGTCAAACGTGTCACGTATCTTATAGCGATCTCTTGAGCATAAACTAGACCGCTTACAATGAAACAGACTATGTCAACGGCATGGTTTTTTTAATGAAGAATGACATGCCATATTAAGTGGTAATTATAGAATGCATATGAAATCCATAGCGCCGTCTCCTCATTTATTTTCCATTTGATCTGTCTAAGAATGTGCTAATACTGCTCAAGTTTAGAAAGGTGCACTCTCATCAATACACCCCCACGGCCAACAAATCATTCACTGTATCGACAGTGGCGTAGTTACATGTCTATATCCAGAAGGCTTGGGCATGCTAACTGACAGAGAAGTCACGTAACAAGAAAATCGATGTCAGTAACATTATTTCATCAATACTCGACCATCAGCGGAAGATTGAAAACGATAGTAAAGCCTAAAGCGTACAGACTGTTTGGCTACGCGGCTTCGGCCTACATGTTAGCGCAGACGCGCTAACATGCAGGCCGAAGGACTTTCGTTGTGATGCCCGAGACTCCTTATTAAACCTCGATATGATTGGTGACCAGACAATGTATTAATGAAGCGTGTCTTTCGCTCCGCCACTATTTCAGACACTCTGAGTAGCCCAGAACACAGAGTGTTTCGTTTTATTTACTGTCCGAGCTATGTTTTTCTTTTTACAAACGCACAAATTTTGAAAAGTCACGCTACACTGTCATGTATGTTTATTTCCTTGTCTACTATTTATATCATCTTCGCCGCTTTAAATACTAATATTTTAGTGCGTAACGGCAGCCTATGTCGCTTCGCACTTGCGCACTCAGTTCAGCGTCGCTTCATAGTTTGTGCGCAACCACTAATTAGTGCATTTAGTAGATAGAAATATTTGGCGCTCTTTCTAAAAGCTAGCCAAAGAGAAAAGGCCTTAGAGACAAACAATAGCCTTAGAGACTAACAATAACAATAATAATTGTTGGTGTTTAACACCTAAACAAGAACCGCGATATTATTTTGGGAGACGCCGTAGTGGAGAGCTCCGAAACTTTCGACCACCAGCCCCGCCGCGGCGGTCTAGTGGTTAAGGTACTAGGCCGCTGACCCGCAGGTCGCGAGTTCAAATCCCGGCTGAGGCGGCTGCATTTCCGATGGAGGCGGAAATGTTGTAGGCCCGTGTGCTCAGATTTGGGTGCACGTTAAAGAACCCCAGGTGGTCGAAATTTCCGGAGCCCTCCACTACGGCGTCGCTCATAATCGTATGGTGGTTTTGGGACGTTAAACCCCACAAATCAATCAATCAATAAATCAACTTTCGACCACCAGGGGTTCTTTAACGTCTACGAGCCACAAGCATTTTCGCCTTTATCAGAAATGTGGCCGCCGAGGCCGGGGTTTGATCCCACAACCCTTCGAGTGAACAGTGGAGATCCACAACCACTGTGGTGGGTCCGTGACAACAAACGCGTGATGCACATCCACATTATTAGCATCTCTAGCCTGCCCATTCACAGCAGGCATTTCGATGAAATAAAGCCTTAGACACTAACTAAATCATATGCCCGTACTGTTTTAACTAATTTTCTGTAGAAATGCTCAGGCTTATATCACCTCGGCTTCTCCATTTCTCTCAGTTTTTCAGCGTACGAGCAAAGAAGTGGTTACACAAAATATAAAAAACAAGAAAAAGAAATACGTAAGAAACTGAAAAAAAATAGAAGTATCATGATGATTGTACTCTCAACAAGATATAGCAGCGAACTTTGAACAGGTGTAAGGCAAACGAAAGTAGCCCGACATATATCGTGGACTTCGATCGCAGGATGCGGTACTGCTGCATGCGAAATTTCAATATAGCTGCACATGAACTGCATACATCACCACACGTTGTTTTTGTTTTTTTGTCGCTTCCAGACGTTAGTGTTTAATTTGTGATTCGACAGCACTGTCACTAGGCCTTTCCACGCACTGTGATGACACGCTTACATATCGGCATGATCTGAATGTATTCCCCCCGTAGTGTGAACGATGGTTACAAAAGTTTAAAACAATATTTGAGTTGCTATTTCATTACGGCAACTATAGCTGGTGTTGAATATGTATACGTAGCGACAAAGCGACGTTTACAAACCTATCCACCTCTGTTTTCAGATGTGCAGATAATATATGCGCTTAATTATTACTGATCATGGTCGTTAAGGGTAACTAACTGGATTCCCAGAGAAGGCAAGCGGGTTAGGGGGAGACAGAAGGTTAGGTGGGCAGATGAGATTAAGAAGTTTGCGGGTATAATTTGGCAGCAGCAAGCACAGGACCAAGTTAACTGGCGGAACATGGGAGAGGCCTTTGTCCTGCAGTGGACGTAGTCAGGCTGATGATGATGATGATGATGATGATGATGATGATGATTACTGATCAGCTCCTTCGCTTCTTTTATGCATTCCATGTTATATTACTTAATTTACTTTTTCCTATTTCTGTTAGTAGCCTACTTACAAAATAATGAACACGTAAGAGTATGGAAGCTCCCAAAAATTAAAGTAGAATTTTCTCTTTTCATTTGCTTGTTTGTTTTATTTTTTTATGCTGTTACTGAAATTGGTCAGAAAAAAAGTGGAACCTAAGCAGACTCTCTCAAGAGATGGACTCACTCACCAAACTTTCACCCACCCGGACTCTCTAGACTAAAGACTCATGGCTTGATCTGAGTCAGTCCGAGTATAGGTTGACTCACGACCTATAGTCACCAATCTTGAACACTGAAAGCGCTCGCAAGGAGGATGTTTCATCAACTACAATACCTAACTCTGGGACGGGTACTATTGCGTCTGTAGACATTCTAGCAGGTGAACTCACTTGCGTGCAACCCCAGAGTCCAATGGCTAGGTACACCAGGAAAACGAGGATGACCAGTATCTTGATGGGAAACAGGCTGAGCAGTCCGCCCCAGGTGTCACGGAAGAAGGTCATCATGATGTGCTCCCGGTTGTCTAGCGGGTTGTCCGGGTCGTTCGGGTTGAGGCCGCCAGTGCACAGAGCCCGGAACAGCCACGAGCGCCCACCTGCGAACGCGGTAACACAAGAGGATGTTGCTGATGCTGAATTGGTGTTACGCGTAGTTACGCAGGAAGCTGAGGTGGTACACTGGACTCAGAACTGCTGACAAAAGCAGGCTCCCTTGATCGTGTTATTGCAACACGAACTGTAAAATAAAAATTAATTGACATTGATGAGTGATGACATCACACTGACGCAGCAGCGTTGACCATGTCAGTGAGAAATCGCAAAAGTGCAACATTTGATTCTCTATCTTATTTAATGGTTTTGTTGTTGCCAAGTTAACGACAACAGTGTTATAAAATAAAGATCTATGAATTGGGGCGCACTTTAATGCGTCACTCTAGCGTCCCTTTTACTTTTGCCTAAGCCGCTACTTCAGTACTCTGGTGCTCGGCAAACCTCAAAGCCTTCAATGATTCGCGAGTTGGACAAGTTGGTGGACGTTCATCGTGGTATATTTTACAGCGCAGCGGGTTAGATACGCACGGAGAAGGGTCACAGTGCTGTGTCCCTTCTCTGTTCGTATCTAACCCGTTGCGCTGTAAAATATTCCACGATGAACTTCACAGATCGAGAAGCAGTTCGCATATGGTCACTCACTGGCTTGCGACTTCGGCATGGTGGGGAAGCAAAGCAGGCCGTGCAGGTTGCGGCGCTCCGCGTATCCGGACAGCGCCATGCATCCTCCGAAGAAGGTGATCTGGTAGACGTAGGTGAACAGCACGGCCACCGCAGTGTAGATGCAGAAGATGCGCACCGACGGGAACGGCGTGATGGCGCCGATGCAGAACGAGATGAAGTTTGTCAGCGAGGTGATGGTGATGGAGACGGCCGCCTCGCGGTACGTCTCGCCCATGCGCTCCACCACGCTCTTTCGGGGGTTGGTGCGCCGCCAGGCGGCCAGCAGCACGAACGTGTCGTCCATTCCGATACCTGCGCGAAACAAGTGAAAACGATAAGGTTTTGTGCGTGTTTGTGCAATATATAACTACGTAGGATGGAGTCAAACGCTTCGGAGTTTCACACGGACTTACAGGCCAGTTGGCGAAGCGCTAAGTGCTGCGTGGTTCGTACTCAACGAAAGATGGAAGCCGACGAACCACAACGACAGAGCTTGGAGACTGAGAAGCACTGGGTATTTCACAGGAGCGCCTATTCAGGAACACCGCTCAAATCAACGCTCCGCTTCAACTCTAGCAAAGCGGAAGTGGAGGGTGGGGGCGTCACGTGCCAACAGGCAAGAAAAGAGTGCTTCACACTCGCCGTAGTAGCTACTGGCAGCGAGCGCTCTGACACTCCCAAGTTTAAATGCACATGTATACCTTACACGGTGGATGGATGGCTGACCATAGCCATATAGTTCAGCTGGTATAGAGCATTGGACGCGTTATTCGAAGGTCGCAGGTACGGTCCCTGCCGGCGACATGTTATATTTTCATCCACTTTTCTTACTTCTTTACATTTACAATAAGATTACTTCTGATAACATCCCCTATACTTTCCTTGGCATCGTTGTCTCTAAAGGAAGTACGACACATGCGACTCTCACGAGTCAAGGATCGAAGAATGTGTTCTCCGTGGTTTATCAGTGGAAGGTGCTCGGCTGCTGATGCAAAGGTCGCTGGTTTGACCCCGGCCGCGGGACTGACATTTCGGTTGAGGCGATACGGCAGAGGCTCGTGTATTGTGCCATGTTAGTGCACGTTATAGAGCACCAGATGGTCAAAATATGTCGAGGCTTCGGCTGCAGCGTCTCTTGTAATCATATCATTGTTTTGGGACGTAAAACCTCAGATAATATTTTTATTAATGTTCTCAGATAGTAAGAACGGCCTTCTCGCTGATACCATTGCCCGGTGGTGAAGTCCTCAATACAACTACTTCCATTGGCAATAACAACGCGGTGGTGCTAGTATAGTGTTTTCCTCTTCAAGGCACCTGTATTTTCTTTAGAGGAAGCACACGTGGTATACTCTGTATTGTTTGAAACCGCTCATTCATTTCTTGTTTTCTCGATATGTCCAGTGCGGAAAAACAAGGCAGCACATGAGCGCTGGCAACGCAGCGCGGTTGCCCACCAAAGCAGGAAAAGGAGCAGAATCGAACAATCGCCGCAGCGGAAAGTGCTCCCAAAGGGGGAAAACAGCGCGGCTGTGTGGGCCAACAGCGTGTGGAATCGATGATGTAAAAGATTTCCAAGGACGGTGCTTCGAGTCGTACGAGCAAAGGAGATGCGCGCCTTTTTATGTGTAAACAATACAGTGCGTGTACGTCCGGCTTTTCTTTCATGTATACTAACCATGCAGAGCACGAGGAAAACTGCCTGACCGCGGCCACTCGGCTTTGTGCCTCGCCTTCCGCACGTGACACTCCAACGAACGCGAAAAAAAAAATGCATTGAGAATTCAGAGAGTACGATTCGAGGAATAAGAATGAACATACGAGAGGCCCCGTAAAAAGAAAGCTGGGCCAATCGGGACGCGTGGATGCCCACGATAAATGCAACGTCGGCGCACGGACATCACCACGCGCTCGCTGGTTCTGTATCTCGACGGCGAAACACTTGTGCGATCTTCGTATAGCGGGCTCAAAGTGTGGGTGACGACGGAACTGCACTTGTTTCGCACTTTGACTGAAGACACGAGAAAGTGTTGCGAATGACGCAGGGAAGATGGTGCTGCCCGGTGCTATGTAAAAAAAAATTAATAAATATTAGCCCCGAGAACTAACACTGGTGGCGCGGCAGTCGGGGCGAACTGACGTCATGGCAAGGACTCGCTAGCTCTGGGCCGACTGTCGCACTTTTCTGAGCACGCCGTGAGCCCGCTCTTACGTGGCACGGTGGTGATAACTGCGCATTGTTGCAATGCAAATATATTAAGGTAGAAGTCATCTGTTTACACTGCTGTGAACGTTAGGTGAGCTGCAGGAAGTTGTGATAATCTAATGGGAAAGCCCCCGTCTGAACGGGAGAGTCACTGTGAAAATGGTGGTACATTACAGCAAGGAATTCGTTGTGACTGCTTACGCCGAGAAATCGGTATTAAAATGCTTTACCCTGATGACTCTATCTTCATTACAACTTGGCGTACACTCTGGGGTTAGAACACGTGTCACGAATACTTAGAAATAAAATTCAATATTTTCAAATTCACTAAATACAACGCAGTTTTCAAGCAGATTATTCCACAAAGTTTTGATTTTTGGTAAAAGAGATGCTAGATGAATCTACCATTAAAAATCTTTAAGTGTGTCCAAAATATTGAACTAAACTAACGCCACTCATGAAACGTTCAGGAAAATGCTGAAATGTCAGTGTACTTGCATTCCGTGAATAATAATTCAGAAAATCTAGTAACCAGGGATTATGTGACCGTGCACACGGATTTACATGAACTGCTGGTCCAATCAAACGCCACGTCCCAAACAGTAATGTTCAATTCACGTGGGTGAACTATTCATGAAAATCGTTTGCTTAGCAAACGATTGAAAATCAAAATGAGCTTTGTGAATGATTTCGCTGGCGGTCTCAGTGACGTGGCCCACGTAATAATTAAACGGTCTTTGCCTCCATCCGTCAGTGTGGGGTCTCGCACGTCATATCCACATACAAAATAATGAAGTTTGTCTAATCAAATGCAAGTAAAATTTACGAGTGGGCTCTGAAACCGGTACTAACGAGTGTAACAGCGACGTTGCGACGAATGTGCATGAAGTTTGCGTAACTAACCTCAACTCGCTTTTTTTTTTGTGAGGTTAAGCCTCAAAATTACTGCGACGAAAGCGTGAATCTATACACGACTAGTGAGTGAGTACATGTGAAAATCAAATAGAACAGCTGTGGTAGCATTCTTGGCCAAGCGCTTTGGAGATATATACCTTTACAGCCTTGATACCACATGGTTTTTTGCAGCTGTGCGTAGAACTTACTACTGATAAGATAAGCAAGATAAGCTCCTTTGTCCGATACCAATAACTGTTTCAGAAGTGAAAACATCATATCTCTGAAAAGAACCTGTCGTGAAGAAACCATCCTGATAATGTAAATATGCTGGCATGTTATGTGTAAAAAGCACGACTTGAAGTAGGACCCGCTGTGGAATAACTTTGTGTCCAAGCAGAAACATGTACCTGTTCACTCACGTTGGAATGCGGCCCCGCCACGGTGGTCTAGTGGCTAAGGTACTCGGCTGCTGACCCGCAGGTCGCGGGATCAAATCCCGGCTATGGCGGCTGCATTTCCGATGGAGGCGGAAATGTTGTAGGCCCGTGTACTCAGATTTGGGTGCACGTTAAAGAACTGAACCCCGAGGCGGTCGAAATTTCCGGAGCCCTCCACTACGGCGTCTCTCATAATCATATGGTGGTTTTGAGACGTTAAACCCCACAAATCAATCAATCAACGATGGAATGCGACTGCTGTGGTCGAGAATCGAACCGATCCTTGAGTTTAGGAGTGCGACAACACAAACCTGATCAATATGTGCACGGTGGAGCGCGGTAACCATTGGCGATTCTAATGAACAAAAGCTTCTTGTTGTTTTAGTAGGAGCATTATTGGCGCTGTTTTAGTCATTCATCTGAAACTTGAGTCAAGCGAAAAGTGATCGCAAACAGCCGAACAGCGTACGATGCGAGCGCATGTCGTGTTGGCGCGCCACGGCACGCGTCGAAGCATCCTTGCCGTGACGTCATCCAAGCAGCCCGCCAAGCGGCGTGACTCCAACTTCTCGGGTCAAATAAAAGTTCTCCTATCGGGAAAAGGGGCAAACGAAGCCTGGCGTCTGCTTGTCTGAGCTACTACTTTTACTTCTTTTTTTTTCGTGCTTTGCACGGTGGTCTATAGTGGCTAAGGTACTGCAGCTGCTGACCAGGATCGCTATCGCGGGATCGAAACCCGGCTGCGGCGGCTGCATTTTCGATGGAGGCCCGTGTGCTCAGATTTGGGTACACGTTAAAGAACCGAAGGTAGTCAAAATTTCCGGAGCCCTCCACTACGGCGTCTCTCATAATCACATGGTGGTTTTGGGTCGTTAAACCCCACATACCATCATCATCATCATCATCATCCTTGTTTGTTTGTTTTCTTTTTTATCAAGAGCCCTTTCCCTCCACTGCGGAAGCGTTAGAGAGGTGATTTGTTTCGGTGTTGGTGGGAGAGCGCATCTATACGCAGTACGCATCGCACCTAACGAATCCCTTTCTGGCGCCGGAACCTGAGGTCACGCGTTCATATCCAGGCGACAATGCAACGTGGCAACGTGAAAGTACAAGTGGCCGCTATAAAAGATCAAATTCCTGCATAAGCGACGGCTGATCACCCGCAGGCCCACGGTTGAGAGAGAGCCAATTAGCGGGAAACGAGGCTATCAGGATGCACAAGTGACCAGGACACTTCCGACGGCCCTATTTTATCAATCGGTTCCGGCGCTGGGTTTGCCGCGTGTGACAACGCTGCCACCGACAATTGCAACTCACGACAAAAAACAGTAGACCGGACGGCGTACGTTCCAATTAGTGTCGCATTCTAAGAAACGTCATCCGTTAGGCGCAGCAACAATCACTGAACTGTATAGCAGTACCAATTGATATAAATGTTGCACTTTCCTTAAACGGCATCGTGATGATTCAGTGCCATCTACCTGAGGTCCTGCATCCATTTTCTTTGTTGGTATATGATTTGTGATCTTTTGCATGCTAGCCACTTGTTCACGTTTTTTTTTTTAAATTCCATTTCATTGCTAATTCATATCCCCCAACATGCATTAGCAAACCGAAAGTACGCGTCCGGTTGGCCTCCTCGCTTTCCCTCCTCCATCAGTCAGGCTCATTCAGAGTCGTAAACAAGTCACGATCACATAAATTAAATTAGATTTATGTGAATTAGTGTGAACACTCACAAACTTACAGGGATGGTATACATGAAAACCACG